ACGCTTATGGATAAGACGAAAATTTTAAGCCCCCCCCACGGATGTGACCAAATATCCGCCTATGGGGATGTTGCTGGTAGTGTAAAAATTAACGCAAATAAATCGGTATACGCGTGCGGCGGCGGCAAGTATTACGCCGAGATAAAACCGTGTAAACCGCCGCCATGTAAGTACGGTACGTGTCGTTGCACCCGTTCCGTGTTCGCAGCAATTGCGTAGCAAGGGTATGGCAAACTATGTCTGCGTCAGGGGCACGAATTGCAAAGGGGCTCAAAATTGTACTCAAGTCGTATTTTTATCCTACAATTAAATTGAAATTTTTCCATTATACTTTTTGAAAAACGTATATGTTATCTATTTGTACAAACTGCGGTTGAATTTAACGATGAAATTATAGAAATAGGGCATTTAGATGAAAAATTTAATTTGAAGAAATTATCGATGAATTTTCCACCCATAAATCGAGAAAATCAAATTTTCGAAGTTCAAAATCAACACTGTAATAATAACTTATAAGTATAAATTGCATACATAAAAATATTAGTAAAATTAAAGGTTAAAAAAAATATCACGACATCAAATTGTAATTAGTTAGGAATGTAAACTTTTCTAAGTTTACCAGGGGCGCTAGTGAGCCTTCCTACGCCACTGGTTCGTAATGAGCCGACGGGAAGGAGTTAAATCCCGTTGCGAACGAATGATCGACGGATCGCTTATCGATGATGACGTTCAACCGAACAAGACGGTTAACCGTCTTGGTCCATCGGTGTTTTCGTGCCGTCGCTTGATTTTAACATTTGTTCGCCGAATCCACGTGCAAAGATATATGTCCGTTAATGCCATAACAGTTGCGTGAAACGTTCGATTTCCAACTGTTAAACAATGATTCGCTAAAATGTTGAGTGAAACGTAGAATTCGATCGATATAAACGTCTAAGAAAAGTACGAAATAAATTGTTTATTTATTTTTCTTATATCATAAACCAATAACTAAATGTATGGCAATGAAAAATGATTTCTTAAAAATAGAATTACAAGGTTTAAATTATTCATTAAAGTCGGTCTATTTTTCAGTAATTTAGATATCGCTCCTGAAAAACCCATCACTCGTTTACTTACAATGGTTTTGTATTATTATATAATGATGAATTCGTCGCACAGGTACCTACAAATATTTGATAATTGATAATAAATTATTATTGTCATCTTTAAAAAATGTTTAATGTTTTTTTGTTTAAACTTTTATTTTTTTCATTCATACTGAAATCCTATTTTGTACGTGTAAATATTATACATATTTACATACATATGAGATCATGGAACACAATGCTTTGCTAATCTATTAACGTATTCAATTCCATGTAAGTATTAAAATAAATGAATATAACATATGACGATAAATATTAATGTTTCCGAATAAATTATCATGTGTGTAAAGTTAAACATCGATATATTTATAAATATACTTATACAATATAAATATTCTAGTTACGTGTATATTTATTTTTCTATTTTGCATACGTAACCTTACGTAATTTCAATATTTGTTTCTTTCACGTTTCAAGAACACATTCTTGAACTATATTTGCTCGATTGTTTTTCATCAAATAATTTTGTGTAAAAAGAATTGGAATATTAAATACTATTCAGTATGAATTTATAAGGACACATTTTAAATGGTTATACATTTTTATTTGTATTTGTTTTTTATTATCATTATCTATATTAATTTGAACTCTAATATTATTACCTAGAGTTATAAAAATGAAGGTTTGGCTTAAACGGTTTTATTCTATAAGTTTTTAAGTTTCATGAAAAATTATTATTGATTGTTAATAATATTCTTTTTGATTTTTTATCTACGACAAACTTTGCGAAAAATCAATTTGCGATAGTAATCTGATTGATCATACATTTTACATCGATTAAATAGTTATTGAAAAACACTTTCATTTATAGCGAATATTTCACCGGCTTTTTTTCTAATATTTTGTAATATACCTATCTGATTTAATTATTAAAAATTATTATGTGGTGCGTTTTAGTTTCAAATGTGTTGAATTAACTATAAAAGTCGTATCACATTAATTTAAAAAATTTACATGATCTAGAAAAAAAAAATATTTGTTTGCAAATTCAAAATAAATCTAAATAATCAAAACCATATTGACAGTTTAATAATTAGGGCTGAGAATTTGTAGGAAAGTGCATTTTTTTATGGTGATTGTAAAACGTAGCTTTGTAAGTACATAATTTGAATTATGTAACTACGAATCCATTTATGCAACTTTTATTTTGCATTTTTTCACGTTTTTAATTTTTTAGGTCATTTTTGTGCATTTATAGGTCATATTTTCCCTTTTTACTTATTTTTCTGGTATTTTTAATTCTAAAGACTAAATTAGGTACCCAAAAATAAATATATTAAAGTTTTTTTTTATTATTTTAACAAAATAAATACTAAAATCTAGTACATATAGAAAAATCAAATTCGATTAAAATGTTTCTTCTTCTTTTTTTTTTATTAAATATATTATTTATTTAATTTATTAAATTATTAAATTATTATTAAATAAACACTTATTTATGCATGTAATGTACTTATATATAATATCCTGTACCTAATATCAATATAAATATAAAAATTAAATTAAAAACCATTTTATACTATAATTTTTGACATTTTATATTGAATTTTTTTGTATTTTAATTGCACATTTTATTGCAAATTTTTTGAAATTTTTAACGCATTTTTTAAGGTTCTTTAGTGCATTAAATTCACACCCCTATTAATAATATTTTCCTGAAATGTTAAAATATAGTTGTTATTCTTTCAGTTTTGCAAGTATTTTTTTACTAACCAAGTACCTCAAATTATAAGAATAACAGTTGATTATTAATTTAAAGTCATAATTATTATCTAGGTGTTTTTAAAATTTATTTCACAATCAAATATTTGAAAAGAGTAATGTAATGGTGGTATCATCGGATAAAGTTTGAATGACTTATGGATAAAAATAAATGGATCCCTTCCCTCTTTATAAGATTTCCTTCAAGGAAACTAAGCTTGGATTTATCGACTTAACTCTCTTGTCTTTGTCATAAATATGACCCTATACAATTTAAAGTAACGTAAAAATCAAATTACGCCAGAGATTGCTGCTAAAACTCGTAATACGGCATATAATATGACCATACCTAAATCATATCCAGAGCATTATGGCTGCATTCGAATTGGGTCCTTAATTTAAAATTACTACACTAGTTGGATCCCGAATTATTTTATTTATACACTAGTTCCTGAATATTTTTTTGTAAGTGCCACATTATACTAAAATTTACCTTCCCATTTTAACAGACTTAGGACTATTTATAATCCATTTAGACCATAGGACTAAATTTTTTTAAAATTCTATAATTTATATAATATTTTTATATAATAGTATTGGAAGGAAAGTATAGTGTAATAAAAATATAATAATAATTAAAAATATTATACAATAATACTAATACAATTTTAATATTTTTAATATTGTTACCAACACAATTCTAATAATTTATATTTTAACGGAAAAGACACTATATAAAAAAAACTATAAAAAACATTTTTTACCATACCTGAAAGAAACAGATAAAACATACCGAAGAAAAAAATATCTGAAAACAAAATATGTAAACATTTTAATTTCTTATGTTTTTATAATTATTTGGGTTATTATTCATAAGTGTAAAAGTAGAATACCTTATGATTGAAATCATATTAATCGCATCCGATTATCAAGATCCCAAATTAAATTGTATGCTTAATGAGTCTGCTATAACAGTACCGCATTTAGATAAAACTCACCCAGGGGCAAATATTTTTTTGATACCCACCCACTCCCCAATAAAAAAAAAATAATAATAATAAACAATTAAATTAAATTAAGATATAACTTATTCTTAATTAATCAGTCGCAGTCACTATCTGATAAATTACAAGTTTAAATTTAAAATCGTGTTCGTAGTTCAACGACTAGACTAGGCGATTATATTCAAATCAGAATCAAGCAAGATTAACAAATGAATAATTTTATAGTCGTTCAATTTTATATATTATAACTCAGAATAGACTCAGGAGCTTAACTTTAAGTACTGTTTTTATAATATAACTAGCCACTAGACACGAAAACAAAAACAAATTTTGAGATGCCCTCTAAAATTTTGGCATCCTCTAAAATGTTGGTACTCTCAAAAGCACCCGAGGCATATGTTCCCTTTGCTCCCCCTTATATGCAATTTTGAGTTATAGTATGCTCTTGTTTTATTTATTATCATTGTTTAACTATTAATCGTCATATACGTAACTATATATAGATATTTGTAATCTATCTGTATAAAATCAGAAAATTGCGCTGGCTAACCTAACAATTACAATATAATGATCGGTAATTTTAAAAGTAAATGGCTAAAATAGAAGCATTTTATAGTACTTATATATCTATGGGAATGTGTTTGTTTAAATGGTTATACGATATTATCTAAAGTGTTACTTACATTATCATACATCTAGTGTTCTGCATTTTTGAGAGATATTCGTATATATGATTTATTGCTTTAATTTTTGCTTATCGTTTCGATATTAGCATTAACTTTTACATTTGCAAGTCTGTTTGAGATACGCTGATCCTTGATAATAGCAGTACGATTTGCTCTTCTAAAACCAACGAGTTTTGACCGAACTATACAGCTGTACAGGACGTGAAGGAGGACGAAGGAATACAGAAAACCATCAGTGGACTGTTAAATTAAGTTACTATACAATTAGAGTAAGTACAAGTACAAAGAGTATCGTGAGTTTAGTTTACAGATAATATGAATATTTGCTAAGATATTTGACATTTATAGGTTATTTGAAAATTGCTCGACTATTTTCTAGCAAACATTGAACATTTGATTTCGAAAGAAAAGCAACAAACTTAAATCGACTACAATCGGTTAAAAATAAAGAAGCACAGAAAATGTATCGAACAACTTCTGCTTACGATACATTGACCGATTCCAATACGTCATCAGAAGTCACTAGTGTGAGATCAAACGATGGCAGGCCAATGGACATGTTGCAAATACAATTTTTAAATTATATAAAAGTGTGCGATGTGTCATCGGTTCGAAATCTATTAGAAAATCACAGCGATTTTGACTTAAACTGCAAAAACTACCAAGGAATGACTGGTTTGAATTTGGCCATTGAAGTTCATTGCGAGCAAATGATTGATCTCCTACTATCCAGGCATGGGCTCGAAATTGGAGATTCGTTGATGTACGCTATTCGCGAAAACCAGTATTCGATTGTTGTCAAGCTTCTCGATATTTTACAATCGGAAAATCCGGAAAACGTCAAATTAGGTTACGAGTATTCCACTGAATTTCCGCAATATCTCACGCCCCTTATGTTGGCGGCCCAGTGTGGACATGTGAAAGTCATCAGTCTATTGCTGAAACGTGGCCATACAATTTCACTGCCCCATAAACCACAGTGTTTATGCAAAGAGGTCAGTTTGGTCAATTACTCGTATCGTCTGAATTTTTATCTGTTTATTGTATTATTTTTACTTATGTAGATCTGTAAGTCGTTGGGTCAACTCAATAATGGTCTTGGGGCCGCTGAACTTAAACTCTCCGTATTCCGAGCACTCGCCAATCCGTCGTACATCTCATTGACGTCACAAGATCCGATTCTTACAGCTTTCCAGCTCAGCAAGATACTGCTAGACCACGGAAACGTAGACCGTATATTCAAATCCGATTACGAATTGTTGAATTTACAGACACGAATGTTCGCCGTCCATTTGATCGGTTTGTGTCGTTCGTCTAGTGAGGTGGAGCAAATACTCACCAGAAAAGAAGGATGCAGCTTCTTCGGTGCTTTTCCATACCAAAGACTAGTGATGGCAATGGATTTAAAGCAAAAAGAATTTGTGGCTCACGCCTACGTACAACAGATACTGGAAACGGCATGGTCTGGTAATTGGTTTGAATGGAAACGATACAGTGCGGTGCATAAGATTTTTGTAATATTCCTGAGGGTGATTTTATTACCGATGATATATTTTTTGTACTTGATGTCACCGTTCTCGAAAAAAGGCCGTCATTATACGCTGCCCGTGAACCGGATGATCAACTATTTATCGTCGTACGCCATTTTTCTGATGATCCTAACCTTAGAAAATAATCTGGACAAGTCAGGGTCTATGAAAGATCCTCTAGATTTGATCTTAAAAATTGCAATCGTTGTTTACGTATTTTCGTTTATAATTCGCACGGTAAAATTGGCTTTAGTCCAAGGACCCAAAAGATATTTCAGCATGTTGTGGAATATTTACGATTGCTTGCAACTAAGCATAATGGCCACGACGATCACCTGCTGGTGGATAACCTATTTAAATTTGCAAGCCAAAGACGATGGTCTTGCGATGGAACGCAAATATTGGCAGCCCTTGGATATGAGATTGGTTGCCGAAGGGTTGCTTGCTGTAGCCACTGTTATGTCATACTTACGACTGTTGTTCTTGTGCCAGCTTAGTTACGCCCTGGGTCCTATGCAAGTGTCACTGGGCAAAATGACCACTGACTTTGCTCGATTCGCAATACTGTTTGGCATCATCGTTTTGGCTTTCACTGCCGGCCTGTGCAGGTTTTATCAGTACTACAGTGGAATGACGAAAATCGATCCGGTCACCGGCTATGAAATCACGCAAGAAGACTCGTTCATTGACATTTTTTCTACCTTGAAAACCCTATTTTGGGGCATATTTTGTATGACGTCATCCACCGCCGGATCGGTGGTGATCGAAACATCAATGAGCGACGACATGAATGAGGAGTTTGTGGCTAGCAATCATTATTTCACCCAAGCCATTGGCACACTTTTATTTTCGTTATTCGAAATCATTTCTGTCATTGTTATGTTAAACATGTTAATAGCTACAATGACCAATACTTTTCAGAGGGTAACCGGAAACTCGTACATAGAATGGGTGTTCGGTAGAACGCAAGTATTCTTGTCGTTTTCTATGCACACTGAACTACCACTACCCCTGAATTTTATACCTACACTTCACTGTGGTATAGACATGTTCGGATGTTTACGAAATTGTTGTAAGGCCGGTGCAACCGGTGTTGCCAATTTGATATCGTCTAAAGAATACCAAACGAAATCAAATTCCGAAGATGAAAGCTATAGAGTATTAATGACTAAACTCATCAGAAGATATTTTCGGGATAAACTGTCTAGTGGTTATGTTCAAAAATGCAACCCTATTTGTTGCTAACAAGTCTAATTCAACTAATTTATTTTTATTTTGTGCTGACCTTGTATAGTTACTTAAAATATATATTTAATAAATACAATGAGTTGTTATGTCTTATTCAATGTATTAAGTTATATTTAAATATATATTATGTTCGTATTTGTAACAAAACAACATATATAAATCATTCAAGCTTATTTTACTGATTTTGACTAATCTGTTTTTACTGTACCATTCGTACGTATTATTTTTATGACCAAACACATATGATAAGAAATACAAGTACAAACAAATAATATTATACCTAGGGCTGTGAATTTAATGCACTAAAGAACTTTAAAAAATGCATTGAAAATATCAAAAAAATGCAATCAAATATGCACTTAAAATGCGAAAAAATTCAATACAAAATGCCAAAAATTAGTATAAAATGGTTTTAATTTAATTTTTATATTTATATTAATATTAGGTACAGAATATTATACATTAGTACATTAAATGCATAAATGTTTATTTATTATAAAAAAAAAAAAAAATATATAAATAAATAAGAACATTTTTGACCGAATTTGATTTTTCTATACTATATTTTAGTATTTATTTTGTTAAAATAATAAAAAAAAACTTTAATATATTTATTTTCGGATACCTTATTTAGTCTTTAGTCTTTAGAATTTGATTAAAAATATAAGAAAATTAAGTAAAAAAGGAAAATATGGCCTAAAAATGCACAAAAATGACCTAAAAAATTAAAACATCAAAAAATGCAAAAAAAATGCAAAATAAAAATTGCATAAATGGATTCGTAGTTACATAATTTAAATCATGTACTTATAAAGCTATGTTTTACAATCACCAAAAAAATGCACTTTCCTACAAATTCTCAGCCCTAATTATACTTTTTTCCAATGGCTTTGAATGAAATACAAATGATAATTGTATATTCCTTCGACAACGATTTCAATAGTCCTCTAGACCGGTGTGTGATACGGTTCAATAGTTTAAATCCTTTCATGGAAATTCATCGGAAAAAGTGCTAAAATATATTCCACAATATCTAATCGCGGGAACTGTGTCATGAAATTTCGTGGGATCTCATACTGTGATGACCCGGTGCAGAATTTTGCCAAGCCAAATACATATTTATTTTTTTTATATATAATTTTATAAGTTTTAAGTCTGGGCTTGAAACCAAAATAATAAATTCTGTCTGATTAGGTCTGTTCTTTTGTGTACTTTGACTTTCCAGCTTAGTTTTGCTTAACTCAAGTCAAACCACTCATCTACTATTACCAATAAAAATGACCGACCGATTCTGTTAGACGTATACATTAGTTGAAAAATTCTTCTCTTGTTAACTTTATAAATCAATTTTATTAATCACGTTTCGATTCAGTTGTTGAAAATAATTTATGAGTCTTAACTTCAAATGTCAAATAAACGTCCAAATCATTTTTCTTCGTGGAAAATTTCATCAATCCAATGAAGCAGAGTATCTCTTTGTATTTTGGCTTCATTATCTTCTGTTATCAAAAAGCATGCGCGCCCCCAAGGGGGGCCAAAGGAATCATTGTCCCTACAGGGAATTTTTGTTTTAAAACTATTGTTGATTTAATATCATGCATATTAATTATAACATCATTTTATTGAGATTCATTTATGAAGTTAAGTAAAATTTATATTATTATTAGATAATCTAAATTGTATGACCTTGAACGAATTTATTAGTTTATAATGTTTACACATAACTGTATATCGCTTAAAATTATAAATTCTCCTGCGTACCGTTTTCTACGGTATTTGATTTTATTCTCATCAATTTTTAGATACACGTTGTTTTGGCCCTTAGAATTATAATCTTGCCTCGGGTGAGGTTTTATCCTGCGGGCGCGATTGTCAAAAAGTATTGAATGTAATTAATATAAGAAATTAGTAAATTATTATTAATGTTAATATTGTAAATGTATATCATAAATGTTATTATATTACAAACTGAATTAGTTAAAATGTTCTTTGAGCTGTAAGTAAACGTTACCGATCGTTTTACAATAATAAGGAGCAATAGAATAGTTATATTACACATCTGAATTGAAACATCAACAAAATAAAATGTTTTAATTTGCATGTTTTTGACGATAAAATGTACATATTTTTTTTATCGACTAGTCTATTATCCAATATCACCATTATTCTTACTATAGGTTATTTTATTGCCTCCTCTTGAACGAAAAAAAAATTTGTTCTGGGTTTTCCTAGACGTTACCCAGGCGTTTGTTCGGGCATGGCACGAAGGGCTATTATTAAAATTATTATTTTTACCCATCCTATATAGGTACTCATTTCGCGATAAAAAGTTAAATAACAGCATGTACATATATTAGTTCCTACACAGTAAAAACTAGATACGTATTTTAGTTCCTACATGGCGGAAAAAATTAAATATGTATGTACGAACCTTCCATAAATCTTCAAAAAAACAATGCGTAGAAGTGCAACAGCACCAACAGGCGTATCGCTATGTTGGGTTATTTGTTATTGAAACTTTGAAACATTCAAATACTATTTTATAGTATAGTATAGTACAGTGGTTCTCAATCTTTTTAGGACCGCGACCCAAATTTTCTTCCAAAAATCTATCACGACCATAGTTTTACATTTACAGAATCAATAAAAATAATTTCAAAAAACAAATTTTTTCTATTTTATTACTTATTTACTACTTTTATAATAATAATAATAATAATAATATATTTATAATAATAATAATATAATATAATATAATATATATAATATAATACTTAATTAATAATTAGGCGTATGTGATGAATGTGCTTGTTTCTTACAATCTGTATAATTAAAAAAACTTCTAGCGACCCCCTAGGGGGTCGCGACCCACAGTTTGAGAAACGCTGGTATAGTATATATATATATATATAGTATAGTATATTAGAGTATCTGAAAAATGTATGCGAAATTACGGGAAAATACAACAAGCTACAGGCTGATAATAGTATCCCGATTCGACGAAGGAAAGATAAAATAACTTGTTATTACGACTTTTCATTACGGATAAAAATGATAAAGAAATTGATTTTGGTTTGATAATCTAATAATTTATTATAACCAAACGAGTACACCGTAAAATGTATAACTAGCTTAAAAGTATTGTTAGTATTGTTCGAATCATCCGTGTGTCCGTACATATTACGGATATATCAGTCACAATGAGCGAGAATGTATCATACATGTCGAGTGAAAAAGACAAACAACTGCTAGTTATAAATGATTTAAAATTTTTTAAACATCATACGTGGCGTTATGTTTTTACCACGTAGGAACTTACATTTGTTCCTTTTTCCGCCGTGTAGGAATTAACATACGTATCTGGTTTTTATCGTGTAGGAACTAACGTACGTATTTTTATGCTCGCTACTCTCGTGTAGGAACTTACATTCGCCCACCTAAATCATATCCAGAGCATTATGAATGATCAATTACTAATGACCCATATGGGCTCATAATTCTGCGAACATTTTTCTCGTCGCTTTTGATGACATTTCATCGTGCTGAGAAGTATCAATATAAAATTATTATATTTTTATAACTTATTAATGTATAATAATGTCCAATACAACAGTTAATTTTATAATAGAAAATTATAGTGAAATATTATTGACTAAAGTGGACTTAACAACTTTGAAGGCTTTAATTGAAATTTGAAAATTGAAGACTTTAATTGAAAAAAGAGTCTAACACCGAGGTGCTTGTCATTGTATAAATTAAAACACAAAAACACGATGACACGATAGTGATTGAAAATTTAACACAAAATACAACAAAATAATTACTGTTTATTTGCTAATAATATTTTAATTCATAGTTAAGATTTTTAAGCCATGTCAATATATAGACAATTTAATAATACAATTTTTTAAAATATAATAGAAATAAAATAAAAAATTGGTAATTATATATTAGTAAACATATACAAGTATAAAATGTTTATAAAACTTTTAAAAAATATAGAATAAATTATACACTAATAAAATAGTAAAAAATTGAATTAAAATTAAAAATCAGTAAATTATTAATACTTATAAATAAATATATAAACAAATATAAAAATAGTTAAAACATAGATATTAATAAATAAGTGCTTGGCCTGGATGATTATTAAATTTATAAAGTACCACCGGTTTCGAATTTAAAATTAAAATCAGATTAACCATTTATTTATTTATTTTTATATTGATTATATACTAATATAATTGAAGAAATAACACATGGAATTCATGTAATATTTGTCGATAAACTAGCAATGAACTAGTACTGGAACTGAAAACTAATACGAATTATCCAAAATATATTCATTAGGTTGAAATTAGACCCGATATTCATTGTTTTCAAATACTTAATCTATAATTTTACCTATTTCGGCATTATATGCATTGTTTATAGATATACCTATTTTTATTTATTTTTTTTTTTTTAAATCGCAATTATCTGGTTTTCTTATAAGTATATTCTCAAAACAATAAGTTTCAACCATTCTCTAGATGGTTGAGGTAAAAATGATTCGAACACTCAAAACCGTTGTTGAATGCCTCGTCTACGTAGTACTTAACTGTTTATAACCCACGAACAGACATGTGAAATCAAAAACGTTCCATCATGTCCAACCACATAGACTGACATCGACAATTACGTTGTTTCAATTTCATGTCTGGTCATTCGTTGTAGCATCTCCGAGCGTGTCTAAGCAATTGAAATTGTATATTTTGTAATGCATCATATTTAATAATTTATAATTGAAAAAACAGTCGACGAATTTCGAATCTTGAATTGTATTCGACAAAAAATATAATGTTTTAATTTTTATCATTTTATTGTTTTCGTATAATCTTCGAAAACGATTAAAATTAAAACTAATTAAGAATAACTATTAAATATAGTAACATGTTTTCGTACAACTCATTTCAATCGAATAGTATTCACTACTGGTTGTACTATTGTAAATTATA